AAGGAACTACCGGATGATATGACTCTCACGAAGCAGGACAGTTAAGATATAAGAATGAGATATAAAGACGATTGGTCATTTGGCAATTTGGTCAAAGGCACTATAAATGAAATTTCAAGATCATAAGGTTTTGGATGTTAAACAGTAAGTAGAAGAAGGAGAGGCGTGGAAAATGAAATTGAGACTAAGAATGGATATGTCATGAAACAATGACTGTTAAAAAATTTCATAACTGTACATATTGGACTACAAATTCTACCTAAAAGAGAATGAAGTAACAGGACCTGATATGAGGAGCTCAGAGGAAAGACTAGGTATGGCCAAGAAAATTGGGCAAGTTAGGTTCATAACGAAGCAACAACTTAGAGAGATGAAGGCCGTTTAGACCATTGAACCATCTTCTATGCTTGGCTTCTTCTTCTTTGTTTTATTCTTTTTTTCTTTTTTGCTTATTATATATAATGGGCAAATCCAGCATTTCATTATTGGAATGATGATCTTCGTGAGAACTACGTAGAAGACAAAGAGGATGGCCACGTAGATGAAGACATCAGTGGCCATCATGACGAACTCTCCAAGTGATGATACGCCATTAACCCAGGACATTGGATTCAAATATCTATAAAGATAACATGAGTGACTGAGAGAGAAAACTGAAATTACTTTGTGATTCCTCCCAGGTTTATTTGATTGCAGCTTGGACAACGTCCAACCATCTCATGCCAAGTACTCTCATCGATATCGATCTGTAACGTTCAGCAATGAAGTTCTTTCAATTTTTTTTTGAAAATGCTTACCTCTAGAGGACTCTCATGATACTCTACTATCCGACAAATGGAAGATTCTTCTCGTTGCTCATCAGATCTTAGACAGATCATTCTGGGTCCACCTTCAACGACTGCAGGCAATGGGATAATCATGGAGCGATTTGAAGCCTATAAGATAGACACTGAATGACGTTGAATCATCTGTAACTTACACTCAAGTCGTGGACGTATGTAGTGAAAGAATATATTTCATCAGACTCTTTATTAGTAGAGTACTTGACTATTCCATTAATCTTTCCAGAAGCACCGTAGACAGTTAAATTGAAATATCTGGAAATCACTAGATGTCAAGAGATAGTCTATTTGAAATCAACCTGTTGCTTCTTGAATCCACTATGATTGAACCAGTAAAGTCATCAACCCTTGAGGCGTTGTGGAAGAAAACGAGTCGATGGCCATTGCCTTCATCAGTCACTAAATTTGATAGTTTAAAACGGAAAAGTGATGAAATGTAACCTTGTAGAGTTATGTATAAGTTGGTTCCTTCAGCATGAGTAACAATAGCTTGACGAGTAGTTCCATCATAAAGACGAGCACTTTGGATCCATGGATAAATCATTTCCAATGGGCGTGATAGATTGAAGTTGTCGGGCATCTGAAGATTGAACGATTAACCTCTCAAACAACTTGTTACAAGTTATTACGTAATTATTCGCCACTAAAACACTTCTGTATGTTTGGTCTTTGCAGTTTTTCACTTTGGCTTTATGGATTTCGTCCATTCTAACAGGTCCATTGAAGACATGGAAGCGAGGTTCTCTTCGAAAGTTACCGAACAGTTTCGAATCTTCTAGTCTATACCATCCGAGACGGTCAAAGCTGTAGATGACACGATGTTGAAATAATACATGAAAAAACGACTCACTTGTTCTCCATTATTTCATTTAGGGGTTGCTTTCGCAATCCGTCCATTTCACCACCAGGGTTGTGATTTGCAAAGTACATTCCAGATTCCAGCTGATGAGAAGCTCTTCCACCAGCTGCTACAGAAAGAGCGATTCGTCGGAGTGAATCTAAGAACCTTAAATGACTAATGTGATGAAAAAACATACTATCATTCAAGGAAACTCACTTGTCTTGTGTTCCGCCGTCCAGCTGTGTTCGTATGGTTGTTTTGTCCATTTCATGCCAACGACCATGGCTGAAATCGTACGCTGTGTACACGAAGGTGGCGAAAGTAGATGGTTGCTCCAATTTGACCGCAGTAAACGACTGATTCCTAAATAGATCAAATTGGTTTCAAATTAGAATTCAAATGTTATACCTGTATGGGCGGAATTTAACATCGCAACAAAGCTTTGGGCTACTGCCAGCATCGCAACCGATAGGTGACTGATTGGGGAAGAAAGTTCGATAGCAAGATGTTGACTGTAAGAAATAAAAATTAAAGTATGATACAATATTTAAAAGCTTACCCTATCTTCCGTTGTCATATCTCCTTCTGGGCATTGTGTGAACTGGTGGGATTCAGCTGTGCAGCTCGAGGCTGTAGCATCACATTCACAGAAGCATTCCGTTCGTACTTCGGGAATTGCGAAAACATATGCTTGAGTAACCTAAAAACATATATTTCAACCATCATATCACTAAACAGTTATATCGTTTCTTATATGGACAATCGCCTTGATCAAGAAACGTAATCAACCGCACACAATAAACATCAATTTATAAATGAAGTTACAGGGATGCGCCACGTGGGAAAAACGCCACGTGATTTCACGTAGCGTGAAAATTACAAAATTAAAACTTACAGGATGATGATGCTCCAATTTCTCCAATCGAATTGTATGTAACCATGAAGATGCTCCTTTTGTGTCTTTTGGATTGAGTTGATTGTGTACAGTATCAGCATCTTCTTCAAGACGGAAACATACGGTCGTATGTAAACCTATATGGAATTGCATTTGCATAGATCTCTTGATAGCGTCATTAGCATCTGAAAAACATTGTTAAAGTGATTGTTCGGGAACGGAGACTCATTCATACCTTGACTAGTCTGTGCTATGACAATAGGTGTTCTTGAGCAATGTGGAGGTTGTATAGGGAACAGCCCCTTGAATATATCTTCTGTAGTTTTTGGAGAAGCCAGACAGAAGAATGGTAAGAATAGGAAGAGTAGTAACATCTTCTGAAAATGAAAACAGTTAGTATAAGAACAGAGAAATTATAACGAAAATTGAAGATCTTATAAATACATAGGTCCTTATATAGAATGACGACTAATCACATAGTGATTAGTCATTAACAGTAGATGGGAGAAGTTCAACAGATGTTCATTCAACAGAATATTGATAAGGCAAGATGGATGGTACAGTGGAAGATATTTTTGATTGTTTTTCTATCGTCTGGTTAACTCAGATCATTCGTATGACTAATTTCGGTGAACACCCAAGCAGTCAAAAGCCACAAGCCTAAGTTGGGCGGAATTGCTTCTTCGAAAAAAAAGTCGCCTACCGGCTGTTCAATTGATTACTCATGAAAGAACAATCAGAAGAATACGCGACGACAAATGATGATCCCCCCTCTCTCTTTCTCCTCTCCCTCTGTTGATTTCTTCATCTTGCCTATTCTCTTTTTCCAATTTAAGGAAACGAGAATCGTTTTCTCTTCCTCTCACTATGTCTAAACAGGCTATGAGACTACTACTACTACTACTATGAGGAAGGATGTTACTTACTGATAAACAACTATTGAATATGCAAATAGGAGTTCACCCATACAATATGAAACTTCTTGGAATTTCATTGATGTCTCGATTACATAAGAGGCACAGCAAGCGAGTATGATGATGTGTAACTGTCTTTAAAGGGCAACAAAAAACAATTGAGAATTAGGAACCGGTAGAGAGGGCGAATAAGAAGTTTATGGATAGTAACGGATTACAAACATTTTTATTGCTCCTAACACATAGTTTTAACAAAAATATTTTTTCATCTCAACACTTCATACACCTTCAACATATCCATCTGATGAAAGGAGAATCACCTTTGAATAGTTGAAGTTATGAAAATGATTTGAAATCAATGGAATTAGAGCACGTAGCATAGAATGATTGAATTCGGATTTGACATGGAAGTAAGCAGGTTACAATAGAACCATTAACTGTCTTGCAGAAATGAAGAAGTGAGATGGAAGAGTTTCGTGAAAGTACAGTTGTCAGCATGCAAAGGACGCTTTGAAAGACTTAAATGGAAATGATATCTCTCATCCTTCAAATCTTTATGGAACAAATCAAAATGATCACGTCAAGTAGTTCATTTTCAGATGCTGTTCTACAGATGAAGATATGATACATATCGATCTCACGTGAAGATTTCACGTGAAACACCATTTTCATTTCTAATAGAGAAAGCATAAGAAGCGGTTGGTTTGCTATTCGTCATCATTAAAAGTTATTAGAGAAGTGATGTAAAGGAAAGAAATGAAACGATAAAGACTGTAAGAAAGAGAATAAACTTCTGATCCAGTGATTAAGTGAGTCATTCATCTAAGGCCATATAACATAGATGAATGGCTGAAGTATCACTTTAAGCACATTTGAAAGATGTTTTGAACGCCTTAGGCTTCAGAATATCATATCATGTGTACACGTAGATAGAATGATAATGAGTAATAAAGACTATACAGGAGCAGTAAAGAAGGCTTCTTTCCAATGACTTTAATTGGATTAAGCTGGATGACCATTAGAAGGTTCAAACAGAACCGCTTTCATTCATTCTTAGAAGGAACTTATGATGTTGGGTAGAAGAGGGTAGAATGCTGATAACTAAGTAAACCGGTAGTTAATCTTTTTGATTCTATGTGTTAACTATGGAAAGGGAAATTAATGTGAGCGAAAGTAGTGTGGATGGCAAGATGAGTGAACGTCTGGTATCATTTACCTCCAATGATCATTGAAGAGTCAGATGTTCATAGATAAGCTTTGACCGTATATGTGTTATAGTGAATGGTTGACTCAACGTCCTCTCCACTATATCTGATTAATATGCTAATTAGATGCCACACAGCGGAAATATCAATTCAGATGATCACGGTGAATGCCATGTTATGATTACAGCGATTATGACATCAGATGTGGCAGATGATGTTTGGCAGACGTATAAAACAAATCAAAACGGGAAAATGATTCGTTTCAACTTGAACTAAGTGTCGCCAATCAGCAACTTCCTCAGGGCAAGAGGGCTGTCGTCGTGTAAACCTATTAAGCTGCAAAACTCGTTTTGACAGCCTTTGAGGGCATTCGACGTGTCAATGTGATAAGCATCTTGAGGCGAGAAAAAGATACTTATGGTTAAGCTAAAAAAACGGTAAGTATAAAATGTTTTTGTGAAACAGTAAAGAGAATGATCAAGTGAGCTTAGAAGACACGTTTTGTCAGAATGGTTCATCATCATGATGAACGGACATTGAACGAGTCAAATATGGAGAAAGAGTACTGAAAGTGTGTCATGAAGGTTTTGAGAATTTGAAAATGTGTAAGACAAACTGATTACGAACTGATATAAGTGTTTATGAGTTTTCTTGTCAGAAGAGGTAAGGGGAGGACCGAAATTACTGGGCCTCAGAGGTCAACCCTTCTTCACTTCTACAGCATCAATCGAGTTTTAAGAATAGCAATTTCATATGTGAAACAAGATGAAATCACATTAACAATGAAGGTACGAGCCACCAAAAAAAAGCTTAAATTTCCACAAATTTCCGTCATTGGATTTGAAAATGGAAATTAGTCATACTGTGTCTATCAGCTGTGACTATCATATAATCATCATCCAATTACAATTATAAAAAGAAAGAGAGATAGAGAGAGAGGTACAAAGGTAAGATAGAGAGAGAGAGAGGAGAACAAGAGAGAGGTTAAGAAGCTTTTTCAACCTCTCATACAGTCAGTCATTCACCTTCTCTTTCTATCGACCAACTTAGAAGAAGAAGAAGTGAACTCGTGAATGAAGGACGTCTTCATCTTCTCGAAACATTTTTTTTGCTTTTTTAAAGTCTGACCATTAATGTTATCAGATTAAATTTATTATCAAAATATAAATTAAATTTAAAATCTTTTTGGTGAATTTATGATTGAAGAGAAGCTATCTGAAGACTTCTTGAACACATGCAGAAGGTCATCTAACGGTTGGGCGAGAAATGCTTGTTGAGTAGTGAGTGAAGGAGTGTGAGAGAGTGATGAAGGAGATGATGTGGTTGGAAAAGAAAAAATGAAAAAACAATCAGTCGGCCAATTATGGTAAGACGAATGAATTGAATAACAACATTTGAAACTTAATTGGCAAATTGTGTTCTCTTGTCTTATTTGGATATGAAGTCATAAATGGATATTTGTTTATCTAATAAATTCACGCCGACATCAAGATTAGTTCTCTCTCTCTCAATCTCTCTCTCTCTCTCTGTTCAAGGAATGGATTTGCCTCTTGTTCGAATGTTCGTGATAAGCAAATCGATAGGTGTGATGATCAGTTGAATTATATAGTTCAAGGATATCTTTAACCTTCTTATTTTCTTTCTCTTTCTCTCTATCTCTCTATAAATTGCGGTCTCTTTTGGTCATTTCTCAACTGTCTCTACCACTTCCTATCATTGAGATGTAGCGGATGTATGTCTTCATCAATGCGAGTTATGAAAGCAAATTTGAAAATGATCAAAATCAATTTGATAATATTCTATCTCTAATGAAGTTTTTTCATCAAAATAAATAGAAATTAAGAGAGAGAGAGAGAGAGAGAGGATGAGAGAGAGAGAGAGTGATAGGTTATTGTGATTGATTTATGATATGAAGACTGTGTTGGACTAATATGGAAGTGATTGCCGTATGATAGTATGGCAGAGCTTGCAACTGTCTAAACACTTGAAGGGTGCGAAGGAAATGATAAAAATAAAAGAAAATAGAAGAATCATGGAGATTACGTTGAAAGAGATGAATATACTGGTCAGTAACGATACGGTCAGGGAAGATGGTTGACGACAGCTTTGATGAATGATGTACAAATGCTTCCTGCTGTGAAGTCATCTCGTTCAGTTGTCTTATCAGGCAAATGATGTATGATAGAAAATCGGAATAGGCACAAAGGATGTTGAAGGCATTCGGAATGGATGTACTACGGTAGAGATGTCATACAAAGCTTAAAAAGCAGAAATATGGGTAGAGGTTGAGAAAAAACTGACAGCTGGAAAGGAAGAAATGAGAATCAAAGTGAATCGGAGGTTACGAGGTGTCAGTAGATGAATCTTGAATCTCTCTCTCTCTCTCTCTTTGCATCTGAACTCGTCAAAGACATCTGAGATAGAAGGTGAGCATGAATTGTTGTGCCAAGTAAGGAAAGAATGAAAATAAGAATTTGAATATTCAACGGTTGCTAAACAGATAGACCCATATGTGGAGATATTCTATTGTATATCAATTATGGTCATGAAGTGGCGTAATATTTGAAAAGTTGTCAATATTGTTCAACAGATTACCATGTAAGGCTATGAAGACCATTTGCATACTTCTATATGCTCTTTCAATGAATAGAATGTTTGTTTGTATTGTTAATATCTTTCAATCTATGCACTAGGTAAGATAGTATGTCTATAGCATATGAATAGATGAGAGATATTAGATGAGCAGACAAATTCTAATGAAAACCTTAATTTCAATCAGCAAACTTTGCTTTAGCCAACTGCACTCATGACCGACTATTTCTATTCAAATTCTCCTTTTCATAACTTATATGTTAATTTCAGTTCACATTAGCATATCGAGACGTTTTCTCATATTCTAATTACGATCTCAGTCGTGTCATTCATGAGTTGGGGTCACGTAAGCATACAGTTGCATACACGTAGACCGCATTGACTGGTTGCATTCACCCTCTCTCTCTCTCTATCTCTCTATAAGTTCATTAATTAGGAGGTTGTCACATAGTTTTTATAAGCTAACGTCATCAGTTATCTCATTTTTTATCATCTCTGAAGGCTTTAGCAGCAGCGCAGACAAAAAATGCGGCTTGTCCGCAATTTTGATACAAAAGTGCCCTTGAAACAGTTTATTGGTCATCTTTAGGCTGTCTTCTGTCTTTCTCTCTTGACAGCCAATTTTGAACATAAACTTGCCGCCTGGACTAACTGTAACTGTCA